CCCCCGGGGCCTCGCGCTGGGGACGCCCCGGGACACCTCCTGCGGGCCGGGTGGAGGAGGAAGAGGAGGAGGAGGAAGAAGACGTGGACCAGGACCCCCGCCCTACCCAGAACACCTGGCTGCGCTGCTGCCACTTCTCTTTAAGGGGGAGGAGAAGAAAACCGGCGAGAGCCATGGGGGGCTGCGAAGTCCGAGAATTTCTTTTGCAATTTGGTTTCTTCTTCTTGCCTCTGCTAACAGCTTGGCCGGGCGACTGCAGTCACGTCTCCAACAACCAAGGTAAGGGACTGGGCGGAGAAGCGGGAGGGGGGTGGGAGGAGGAGGGTGCTTTAAGGACCGGTGCATTGGTTGCCTCCTGTAGGTAACCGTCCTGTGATCAGCTTTTCGGGGCTCTCCACACCAGGGGGTTGAGGATGTCCCCTGTCAGTAGCGCCCTGTCTACATTGCCCTGGACTGGCTGCCCCACTAGCTACGATTCCTTTTGCTTCCAAATTTCTTTGATGCGTGAGCATCAGATGCACTTGGTCCCACCGCGGGCGGCCGCGGGACCGTTCCCCCCTGCGCTGTCTCCACCGGAGGTCAGGCTCTGTGGCACAGACTTAATGGAGACTTCTGGCTCTTGGCGGTCGCTCACAGCAGGGTAACATGTGAATTCTCTCACATGCCTTCTTGAAAGTCAGATCGCTACCGCTGTACCCTGTGACCATTTGTCAGCCTTTCGCCTCCAGTAACTGAACGGCACCCTCGCCCAGCCCCAGCCCCGTGTCCCCATCTGCCAGCCTGGCCACCTGATATAGACTTGTTCGAAATTATGCTAGACCACATGCCGGCAGATCTGGGTTGTGGTTTCTGTTCTTGCGGGCGGGAGGTAGGTAAGAGTGAATTTCCAAGTTGTTAATATCCTATTCATAAAGTCAAGTCACTGACATTTTTTGGAGGACTTTGTTTTGGTGGGTAAAGTAGTAAAGTGAAGGTGAACAGTGTGTGAAAAGTGATGGAAAATACTTAGAATATGTGAGCATTTTCTTTCCTTCTATTCAAACAACATATGAAACATATTTCATTGGATATCTGCTCTGAATATTGAAAGATCTATTTTAAAAAATCACCTGCAAATTTTAGATCCTCTTAGATTACACTAAGTGTTGAACAACCGTAAAAGTTATCCAGAATGTACTTGGCTGGATGCTCTCACTGGCGCTGTAATGACCACCACCGATATGTCACCTGTTATAACACTGTTCTGAAGACCTCAAATATAAAGCAGTGGTGGTTAATTGTAGTTACCTTTTAACATAGAAAGCATATGTTTCAGGGTCTCGAAATAATTTGCAGATGTAAAAATGGAGGTCGGATGGCTTGAACGTGTACACTTTTTGTTGAGGGGAAAGGTTAAGAGAGAAGGCAAATTAAACAACACAGCTTTCTTATTGCATAAGCATATGTGACAATTTTATTTTATTTAGAAATTATTGAGAATCAATATTCAGTTGTTCTAATGTATATAGTTGGTACTTTTGGCATGCTTTCCTAATTATTACTATTTTTTTTAACCTGACAATGTAATCACAAATGTGTAGATGAACTTGGAAACCATACATAACCCTCATGACTTTGAAGATATATCACTAAGTGCCAGCTATAGTGCCCTACTTTCCTATGGTGGTGTATACCTTCTCACTACATCCCTCATTTGTTTTCAGGGACTACTGGTATTAAATATCAAAGGAGTAGTTACTTTACCTTTGTGCAAATAGAACATTGTTAAAAGCAACATGTAATTATTTACTTGACCTTTTTTATTGTAAGGAGAGAAAACAATTTTTAATCATTGGAAAGTCAGACATTTATATTGTGCTTTATGTTAATATCTAGGGATACTAAAGAGGTGTTGGAAAGTCAGACATCTATATTCTACTTTATGTTAGTATCTAGGGATACTAAATAGATGTATACTTTGAGAGTCAAGTGTATTAGAAGTTTTTAGCAGTTATTCCCATGCAAATAATTTCCCTATGATACATCAGTAAACACTCTAGGCCCTAGGAATACTAACATAAATAGAAGACATATCTGAATCTCCAAATGAGTAAAGTGTCATTCCTCTAAAATGTGTAGTTTTAAAATATGACCTTTTAGATATTCATACATTTTGTATATTTAAGAGAATAGAGGTTTTGTTTATTAATCTCTTGCAGTAATTTTATTTGCTTATCTATTTTAATGACTCCCCCATACTATTTAAACATGTTTAAATTAAAATGCAGTACATACCAAACATGTGTAATTTATTTATTTTTATCAATAAGTTTAACTTAATGTTAGTGAGTATTAACTGGTTCTCCTATCAGTTAAATAGGATCATTTAAAATTGTCTACTAAAACTTTTAATTTTAATGTAGTAGTGTATTAAATGTACAGGCTATGCTTAAGAATGTCTCCTAAATGTTAAATTGGATAAAATTCTGAGGAGTTCTTTGGAAGAAATTTATAGAGAAATTATGATCATATTTTTTCATCAGACACAAATGATTGTTTATAAAATGCTTTTTACAGTCAAAGTCACAGTGATTAGAAATTTTTCGTGATAATAAAATGAGATAAGTTTCAAATATTGAAATCATCACACTAATGGTTAATAAAATGTCAGCTTTCTAAATGTAGTTTTTATGAACATTTTAGTGATATTTTCTTTATTAGTATTTGACAAATAACATAAATCAAAACATCAATTTTTAAACAGTGGAAATGTGGGACATTTCAAAATTATGTTTATATTATGGAAAGACTAATTTAAAATATAAATTTGATTTCTTATACACATAAAAATAAATATAGATGATTAATGTTTAGTTTTGAGGAGGTAGTTTTCATTTTCCAAGTAATTTTTATTTTAATGGCTAATGGAATTAATGTTTTATTTTTGCAACTTCTTTTATGTAGGGTAAAATTTCATGTTTATATAACTTTATTAAGGACATTCACAAAGTAAAATTTATAATTCTGTGCATCCATTTTGACAAAATTATATAAAATCCTTTATGGTTGAAAAGAATGGGCTCACCTTCCCTACTCCATGTACCCTTACCCCCAGTTTTCTATAGGCAGGGTAAAATGATGATCATGACAAAAAAGAGAACTGCCTCAATCTTTTAACATGGTTCTAAGAGTAACTTGACTAAAGGAAGGATATCTTCTTTCGTCTTTTAACTGACTGTGAAGCTGTGCATTGTAAAGACAAAATAAATCAATTTGACTCTTCCTATTACCCAAACCTCCTTGAATCGATCAGAAAGTAAAGGTGCTTCCTAGATCACTTCATCTGATTAAGTAAGTGAAAACAAGATTTGTCTTCAAATATCTCTCATATTTCATTAATTTTCCCTATAATTAAAACCATAGTATTAATTAAGTGTTGGTAATTTTTATTTTAAAAAAGATTTTATTTTCTGAAGATATATATAACCTTTCATTTCTCTACTAGATACTTAGGTGAATATAAAATGCAGTCTTGCTTCATGTGTAAGTTAACCATGTGTATTAGTTACAATGGCTAGAATCCACCAGAGGTCCATTTATTCAAAGATTACTCCACTTTAGCAAATAGTACTGTATAGCCTAAATAAGTTGATGCATCTGTCAAGGTGTGGCTCATGTTTCTAAAAATAATCGATCACATGCTCAAATAATTCATTAAGTCAAAATACTGTTTGGGTACATGAATCTAGTGAATTTATTTTACTACCAATACTGTGTGAATCGATTTTTTGCCCCAGGCAATTGAGTGACAAATGAAGTAAAGAAGCAAAACAATAGTGTGAGTAGCTTGGTTTCATTAAATTTATTAATTTGGATGAATTGACCGTAAAATCTATTGAGTTGTTTGTAAATACAAGTATATATGTCTAAATAGCAAAATATCCACTTAACAAAAGTCATGGCCTAAAATAAGTGTAACTGCCATAAGTATTGTGCACAAATTGTAAGACTGAATATTTTTCTTACATTTATAGAAAAGGAGAAATTGAGGAAATTTTTCTTAGAATGTCGAGTGAATTTTAGGTACTGAAAATATTAAAAATTATGTTAAATTAGGAAAACTGCATTATTTCCAAAGAATATTTCTGAAAGACCATTTAGATGAAATTAGTTTTCAGGAATAAACAACTCATAGTTATAAAGGTACAAGAGATTATCACATGCATTCCTGTTAGACATAAGCATAAATACAACCTAAAATATAATTTTATTATATATTTACAATTTGAAATAAGTCACTGTATAATTAGTCATAGTTAGCATACAAAGTAGAAAGATAAAGTATATTTATGCAGATTCAGCAGTGGCTAAGTGTTGTTTGTTCTGGGTTTGAGATAAGACTATCTAAAAATTTCTTCTTGCCTCAAAATTATACATGTTTATTTAGGATCTTTTCTTCAAACCAGAAGTAGCTTAGAAGAATATTGTAACAGCCAATATAGTACACATGAATAAAACACTTTTATATGGATTTCATAAGGGGAAAATATATATCTAATGGTACAAAAGAAATTAATGATTACATTACACGTTAGTTCTTTTGTGTTACTTTTATATTACACAACAAATATTAGAAAAATGTGAAAGTAAAAAGTCTTTTATTCGTTTCTTCACTAATCATTGCTAATATAAACTACTTACGTGCAAAAGGTACCATAGATTTCTTGTATCTTCCCCACCAACCCTCTTTCCCAGTCACACAATCTTTAAATCTCCCTTCTCTCTCTTTCTCCCTACCTCTCCCCTCTCACTTACGTGAATATTTCTCCTGGCTTGATGCTCCATTTGTCCCACATGATGAGAGAATAAATTGTACTTCACACTGTACATCAACCAGATCCCAAGAGTAATAGAGGTTTTTTCATTGCACCTTTGACACGACATTTCTTGGGAGTTATAAACATGGAAGAGATCAGTACATATAGTTAAGAAATCAAAATACGTTGACTTTGTCCAAAGGACATTGTCAATCATGTAATAAAAACTAAACTCATATGGAAGGATTACATAAATTACTTATACATCTATAGTGTTATGTTCAATTTGTAATCTCATTAGACTGACATTTCTTTAAATAATTGAAAGTACATTCTTTCTGTTCTTGCCTTATGTTTTCTAGAATCTAAAATTTAGATGATGGAGGAGAAAAGGTAAGTAAGGTAGGTATGTTCTATGTCCTCATGGAACTTGAATAAGTAAGTAAAAAAATAAAGGTTGTAGAAATTCTATGGAGGAAGCAA